AATATTGTATATATACATCATATATTTTATATATAATATGTATTTTATATTATATATAATATTTCATATACTATATGTATAATATATATTATATTCTATATATTATATATGAAAATAAATTATATATTAAATAAATTATATAGATTATATATATTATATATATTATATATATTATATATATTATATGTATATTATATGTATATTATATATATATATATTATATATATTATATATATTATATTTTTTATATATATTATATATATTATATATATTATATATATTAAATATATTATATATATTATATATTATATATTATATATTATATATATATATATTATATATATTATATAAATTATATATTATATATATTATATTATATTATATATTATATATTATATATTATTTATATATATATATTATATATCATACATATTATATTCATACATATATTTTACATAATATACATATTATATATTATACAAATTATATATATTATAAATATTATATATACTAAATATTTTAGATATTATATATATATTATATCATATATTTAAATATTATATATATTTTTTATATATTATATTCATTATATGAATTATATATATTATATATAATATTCAAAAATATATATATATATATATTATATTTTTTTTACATATATATATCATATCATATATATAGTGTATTGTATATCATATATCATATACATATTTTTTTAAATAGCATATTATTATTTTTTTCATATTATATATATATAAATTATATATATATCATACTTATGTATTGCATTGTATATTATATATATATTGTATTGTATGTTATATATGTATATAGGGTATTGTATTTTATATAATATATATGTATTTATTATATATAATATATTACATTGTATATTTTTATTTATGTAATATATTATATTGTATATTTTTGATATATATTATATTATAAACTATGAATATTATATTATACATATATATATATATAGATATACAGTATCAGTTTTATTTTGATACCAGCTCCTCGATCCATATCAAACACATGTGAGTTGACATGTCACATTGACATTCTGCGCAACACTGCCCTGACCATGAGCCGAATCAAGGGTGCCGGGAACTGGCCAAGCATCTTCAGAAGACCATGGGCATCATGGCCTGAGTCAACTGGAAAATGGGGAGGCCACTTATCTTTGGGCTGTCACCTTGCAGGCCATATCTTGTCAGTTCCAACTACTCCATGCTCCGGACATCTCCGGACTAGAATGATGCTGCCGAGTCAAACCCGCACATGGGAGCCATGCTCAAAGTGCTCCCCTGATTGCATTTTGAAATGCTTTGATGGCTGCCGGATCAGATTCGAGGGCTCATTAGCTCATTGTTCCAATGCAAGTTATTGAACAATGTGAACCACCTAACAATCAACCCCAGACCCCTTGCTGAAGTAACTGAAGAACACTCCCAAATAAAATCGATTGTTGTTTCAATCAATCTCCCAATGGAACCACCCATAGGTTGCGTCCTTGCAGCCTCCACACTCCCGTCTGTCTCAACCCGCTCCCAGCTACCCTCAAAATCAGTGCATGATACAATCAAGTGAGTCGCAGAGAAACATCATCAGTGAAAAGTTTTTGGACCCGCATCTGAAAAAGGTGTTGAGATTTGGATTGAATTATTATTTTTTCTGCCCGCGATCACCGTGATCTCAATAAACCCTCGACCAGCGGGCAAGGAACTTGCTGCGGTGGCATCTCGACCAGCATATTTCAACAACAGGGACGACCCACCAGGATGCAAAATGTGCCAGTTCGTGATGTCATACACCTGGCAGCATGGAAAAACGCTGGTTTTTGGCATTTTTTTTTGACAGCGAATCGGCATCTCTCAGCCGAAACGCGCCTTGCTGTCCAAAATCACCTCAGCGTGCGAGAAGAATTCTGTCTCTCACCCACTGCGTGGGGTGAAAAATCGATATTTTTTCAGAAGGTTAAAAAAAATATTCTATGTACCAAGCACTTCGGAAGAAATTCGAATCTGGCCTTTTCTTAACTCGAAGCATTCCCCCAAGACTTGGCGACCACTCCATTTTTGTTCGATGGCATCCCTGAACTGAATTATTTTTTAGATGAAAATCCAAATAGGCGTTGGTCCCCTTAAATGCAGTTGTTTAAAAAAATATGTAAAAACAGATTTCGTGTTTCCACTCATATCTTTGATAGCCTCCGGCAATCAAACATAGCTAGGTGGAAAGTGATTCATTTGTGGATGATTTTCCTAATTCTAAAAACTCCATTTGTGGAGGGTTTTCCCATGTTTTCGTAATAATTTACCCAGCTATAAAGCTCCATCTAGGGGGTTTCCCCAGACACCGCGCGCTTTGTCTCCAGCGACGCTTTGCTAAGCCCGTGGCCCAAAGGTCGTCAGGTTTGTTGTGCCGTGCCACCTCTGCGGCTGTGAACAACTCCATGGCGATATGGCGCACAGGGCGCGTTTTGGTGCAGCCTGGAGGTTATACCAAAAGAAAACGAATTGGTTAAACATCGGCATTTGAGGATAATGTAGATCTACACGCTCATGGCATATATGTGATGGGAATATATTTTTCGCCTCGTGAGTTTGGATTTCAATTGGAAAACTGATCGTTTTGTCTCGCCCAGGCGGAACATCCAGTGTTTGAAATGGGGCGGCCGTAGGGCACAATAAATGAAACTGGCGATAATTTAAATGGATAATTCATGTCCAAATTGAGAAAAACCGCATTGTTTTTGATTAGTTGTGATACCCCTACTGGTTATGATCGTTATGATTGGGGATGGTGTACCATTGGTTTCCCAACCCATTCCGCGAATGGACATATTTTTTTCTGCAACACGTTTGCCATGTGTACCGCAGTTCCATGAGTCCATGACCATCTTGACTTTGCCGGGTTTCACTTCACATGCTATTGTGCCACATGTCCCCGAGCCACTTCAAAGCTGCACGCAATATGACGATGCGAAGAACAAAGTTCGATGAAATAACGACCTGTAACCCCAAAGAACAGGGAACACATCAATCAAACACTCGGGCCTCTGAGGTGGAAGGCGAACATTCCAAAACAACTTGAATTAGTCAACACGGCTTTACAGGGAGTCCTGCAGAGACACAAGCGTGCAAAATCGAGACTTAGTTGGAACAGACTGCGGTGCTCATCTACCATTACGCGCCGAACCAAATGACAGGTGCAAGTCAGCCATCGCAATAGAAGGACCAAGAAAACTCACTTATCAGATTGTTCAACAACCGACAGTCAAAACACCTGCCGATGTATGAAAAACTGGGCAACACATCATTAATTGATATTAATTGTTTATGGCGCTCTTAGAGTTGTGCAATCTTTTGCAATTCACATGCATAAGAAGAGCCTTGACACACAACTCACCCCTGTTCAAACAATTGGAGCGGATCTTATGGAACGCAGGGTTGCACGCAGGTTCAGTAGGAAGGAGGCAAGCAGCGACTTTTCGTCCCAGTTTCGAGCTGTCAAGTATGAGACAAATCCATACAAATCCGCCGGAACACTGTGGCCCTCGAACAGCGCAAACAATTTAGCCTTCGTATTCGCAAGATGCATCAACGAAAAATTAGGAATTGGAAATCCCAGCTGTTGTTTTTGAAATTGCCCGACACATCTCAATGGAAACCTTTGAAAACCATGGTTGCGACATTGCATGGGCATAGCCGGCATAGCTTGACGCAACGACCATCGCCAAATGATTTTGCAGACATGTTGGAGAATTCGTTCGGTGGTGCTGTCGCGCCACCCGGGCCTCAGATATTGATGAGCGAACCGCCTTTTACAATGGAAGAATTGAAACACGCGCTGGGACGGTTCAAAAACAACAAACCCGGTGATGAGGCAGGTTTGGTTGCTGAACTAGTGTTGCCCCAACCGAATTATTAGAAACTGTTTTTTATTTTACAATCATGTGCTGACTCCGGGTGACGTGCCAGCAGAATGGCGTAAAACGTTGTTTACCATGATTCCAAAGACGATGCATGCGAAAACGGTGGCCGACTTTCGTCCTATTGTTTCCCACTCGTATGTTCTACATTTTTTGTTTACATGTTATTAGCTCGCATGGACCCGATTCTCGACAACCAACAGCCGAAGAAATCATCGTCATCGTCATCGTCATCGTCATCACCAACTAACACTCCCAAGGATTCATCGTCCACTTAAAGTAGGGTGAAGTTTTGCAGTACGAATGTCGTCGTTTTTAACTAATGGAAGTGTTTGAGCCAAGTCCGAAGCATGCAATTTATTCAATCAGTTTCAGTTACCGCAAATAAAATCAAATCATTCGCATATCGAATGATTATTGACCCTTCCAACCCGGCAACATCAAAACCATGTGCTTGCAATCGTCGCCTCCACATTCGCATGGCAAACACCAAACCACAGTTGGATCAAATATTTTTTCCCCTCACTCTACGTCGGATAGGACAGTCCAGGCACCCTTGATGTATCCAGTCCGTTCGCGCTAAGAGCCTGCAACCAATTCAAACATGCATCTAATACACCATGTGCAGACATTGCATTGAACAAAGCCGCGAACTCGATCCTGTAGAACACCTCCTACTTCAAGTTTGCCAACCACACGTCTAATTTCCATTCCGTGGCCTTGCTGATGACAGTTCCCACGGTGACAAAAGCGTCATCAACACCAGAATTCGTTAAAACCCTGTTTGGTCACGGCTGTAGCAGATGCACGTCGTTTCCCGATCGCAAGTCTGAAAAATGGCGCTGTTTCCAATCGCCAGTTTTGATCCGCACTGTGAAAACATTTTATAATGGCATTTTATCGCGGATATTTTTCAGAACAGGGCACCACCAGCGTGCAATAGTTTTCCCAAATTACTTAAGAAAACATTTATTTATCTGCTGCATGTCTGTTGGCCTATGCCAATCTGCTGCAAGGGGAAAAGGAAAAGGGGAACAAAAAAAAAAAACTCATGAAAGTAACAGAGATTGGGTTCGTTGGGGTTAGGAATTGTGTTTTTTGTTGTTTGTTTGTTTTTTTGGTTTCTTGGTTTCTCTTGCCAGTGAATGCTGTGTCAGTCATACATTAAATACATAGTTTCAGCCACGGCCCAAGCTGTGGCACTGTACAGATGCAAGTGAGAATCAGCGGCACCAGGGGCACCGTGCGCCGCCAGCTGCCCTTGCAAGCTGGAAGGCTGGGTCCACCCAGGCGAGGCAAAGAATGGCTAAGCCAATACTTACCAGGCCGATGCCAAAAGGAAAGTAAAAACAAGTGGGCACGAGCAAAAACGCCAGATGCCAAAAATCAAGCACCTCCCGGTAGAGGAGTATGAGTCTGAAATTGCACCAGCCGGGACTGCACAGGAAAACTAGGCACCAGGCAAAACGAAAGCATCGTGCACAAATGCTGCCAAGCACTAAAGGCAAGGCGGCCACAAGAAACCGGGCCCAGCTCACTCATCCAGGACATCAGGAAGGCTTCAGGAGCGCAAAACCACAGCCGCCGCCGAAGCAGCATGGGAAGGGGCTTCTGCCACAGCGGCGTCAGCACGGCGCTGCAGGGCAGCCCTTCCACGATAGCTGCGGATCAGAACCGAAGTTTCTTGCAGCAGCTCAGCAAAGAGAGCCGCAGGCTCGGCCTGTTCCCGCGCAGCAACTGCACGGGCTATGCACTTTAAGACCCGGGCCGCCGCATGGTCCCAAGCACCGGTCATCTCAGCCACAAGTGGGACAAAGGTGAGACCTTGCCCCCGACAAATCGAAGCAGTGTCCAAGTGGGCCATTTTGACAGTTGCATAAGCAGCAGCCGCAGCGCCTCCTTGCCGCCCAGCCTCTGCTAAGCTAGCCTGCCGCTGAAAGCCTGTCACGGCCAAGTCAAATGCAGTAGGCTTGCCAGAGAAGCAAGGTGCAAAGATGTCTGCGGGTCGTCTGCGTGCAACCCCAGTCTCTTCTGGGCGCTGTGGGAGAAGGAGACCAGGTTTCTCCTTTTCTGGGTGAAGCCCGGCTCGGTCCGCCCAAGTGCAAAGCAAGTCCCGGAGCGCGTTGTGCCGCTGGTTGCGCTCGCCCCCAGCTATGCAGACCCCGGCATGCAGAGAGAAGGCAAAACAAACATGAACACTAAATAATAACAACAAAACAAACAAGTGCAAATGCCTTTCCAAAGTGTGCAGCGTTGCTTTAAAAATGTATAAGTTCTACATTTCTTCAGGGAACAACACGGGTTTCGAGCGCACTACAGGCTGGAGGAACATAATCACCGCAAACGTTGTCATCGACAAGTTGTTAGGGATCAACAAACAAATTTGGATTGTGAGCTTGGACTTATCAAAAGCCTTCGACCGTATCAACTGGGATGCATTGTGGCTATCCCTCCGTGACCGCGGCATCTTACAGCATTTGGTTTGGGCAGTGCAATGCCTATTTTCGAGCCACGAGTGACAGGTTGTAGGATAGCAGCCGTGGTTTTGCTATCAATGCTGGACTTCGTCAAGGGCGCGTGCTGAGTCCGAAGCTTTACACGTGTGTTCTTCAATGGGCGATGGCAAATTGGCAACGACGGGCTACAGTTTTTGATTTTGGTATCGTTTTGCATGATGGTATGCCTAAACTTGTGGATTTAAGATTTGCAGATGATTTTTTTTGCGTCCAGCGCCCATGAACCAACCGTTTTGTTTGACTTACTCATACAAGATTTGGCCGCAACAGGTTTGTTTTTTAAATGCACACAAAACTGTTACTCTCACAAACAAAACGCAGCCCCTTTCGCAGTTTGTTCTTTCCAATGGGCAAGTCATTCAAATGGAGTGTGGTGAATATGGCCATAGGCGGTGGTTGGGTTGTATCCTGGGCGTGGGTCGTTTCCATAGAACATCCTTGGATGCCGAGTTCCACTTGCAGGCAGCCTGCCGGGCATTTTTCGCGGACAGTACGTGTGACAGATCGCTTGCGATTTTTCGATGCTGTGGTGACACCACTTGCGTTTATCAACAATCCATAAACATGGTTTGCAAACCATGGATTGTGATTTCGGAAGCTGTTTCCGAAGATGGTGCGTCCTCCTGCTTCTGTTGATTGGACCCGTCCCTGGCATAAAGTTTTACATTTTTCGAACAGAAAAATTGAAACAATAAGAAACCACAATGATTTGGAGATTTGGTCTCGCTAATGTTTGAAACTATATTGGAACCTTAGCTTATACATTGCAAGTCTGCCGACCAATCGGTGGGTCCGTCGTGTTCTGTGTTTGTGCCCACTTGGCCATGGGGTTGTTAGGGTCGTCCACACAGGCGAAAGTTGACTCACACACACCGTCGTTTTTGACTCACACACACAGGCGAAAGTAGCAACCACCATGAACACACACCACTTTATGTTACAGAGTTGTTGGAGGGGTGGAGTGGGATGGGGTGGGATGGGGTCGGGCAATAACGTGCACGTTCTTTTACAAACACACGCACTGAGCTGGGGTCGGGCTTTGGTTGG